CAAAATTTACATCACCCTCAGCTGTTCTAGAACGAGACTCGAAGACGATTTCTGAGTTAATTTTCCTGCGTTCACTGTGAGTATCAACTTTAAATTGTGTTAAGTGTTGTAAGAGAGAGAGAATTAGGGGTAAAGCTAATGCCAGGAAGTATGTGTGATAGGAAAATTTAAAATGTAGAACTCAAGAAATGATGCAATTGCTCTGTGCAGGTGAGATCTGTTTGATTTTTTGAGATACGTTTTTTGGATACAGGTTTTTCATGGATATTTTTTATTTCTGGAAATTCAATGTACAAGCAGGGCGTGTACATTGATTGTGATAGACTGCTTATAACTGTTTGCGTTCCGGTTATTATGATTTGAGTTCAGGGAAACCAACTATGAAAATAACTATGACAACAACATAGGCTTCTGTTTGTGGGGAAGCATGAACATGATATTAATTACTGACACTTGTAATTTTTGTGGGGCGCCAGTATCTCTGACCTATGTGGGTTGTCATATTGTAAGGGGGTTAGGGGGCAAAACTGTTTACTATTTACTATGAGTGTGCTAGGCAATAAGTGAATTATTATAAGTTATATGTCGGTCATTTGCTTTTACCATGCAATTTCCCTGACCCCTATAATGCTTTCCCTAGATATTGGGGCTGAATCTTAGTTGTGCTTCGTTTGCAAAGGAAATGAGTGCTAGATCCGTTTGAAAAACAACAAGAGCTTTCAGATAAACATAGTTTCCACCTGGAAATCATTGTTAAGCATCATTTGCAAATTTACCAAAAGTTTGGTCTTTTCTCTTTGTCATAAAACTCTTGTTAGGAGTTCTTTTCACATTGCTTTTGAAAGGTGTAATGAATGCTTTGACAACAAAATTTGCAAGAGGTTGGTTTTGCTTGAGTGATGTAGGAAAATATCAAGTATTTCTGATTTTGAAAATGTGTACTAAACAGTATGCAGTGAAAAGCGTTGTCTTCAGTAATAGATATGTACTAATGAGATGTGATTAAAATTAGAATGGAAATATATTAAAGGCACAATGCTGTTTCAAAGGGACTCTGTATTTGAAGCTTGTGGTATGCATAACTTGAAAAAGAGGCAGTGGACATTTTGATTGTCTGATTGAAATTACATAATGATATCCCTGGTAGTTATTTTTAAGATTAGATGCCTTCTTTCTTTCCATTTTTTTGTCGAAGGTATTTATTGTATGGTGTTCCAAGAATGAAGCTCTTTACCAGTATGATTTATAGTTTAACCCCTATGATCTAGAGAATATCATGAAAAACTTAGCTGGAGGGGTGGGTGATTTGAACATGCAGTCATGGAAAAATTTGGCTAAGAGCTAGGGTGACAGAAATGACACGCTATAAGTGCTCAAAGCTCTTGGAGAGTGATAAGACTCAGTAGGAAGGGACTTTTGCATTATTTCCATTGATAAATAAGTTTGGGATGTACCATCAATGAGCCATGCTTCAAGAGTGCCGGCTCAAGGGAAGACACTATTTCCATTCTCATGATCTTATTCCTGCCCTATGTGATTACAGAAAATTTCATTAGAAACAGTTTTGTAAATTGAAAACTGTATTCTGTTTTTATTTATTGCCTGTATCTTACTTCATGTTTTCTATCAGTTTGTAAAGAACATGTAACACTGAAATAGGAATACAGTAGACAAGTGTATATTCTTAGCTAGTAATACTGTTTCTGGGATGTAGCAATATATGGTAATTTCTGATACATTAGTTAATGCTGTTTGTTCTGTTGCAATCTCAGTACTTTAAAAAGACTGATTCATCGTATTTACTTAGAAAAAAGAAAATATGATTGTATGTGTGAAAGTAATTAAACATAGCCCAGCTCTCAGTATTGTTATAATATGTCTTAAAACAATGGTTAGAGTGTTATGAATAGAACTCAAGTTTGTAACAAAGTTTACAGAAAGACTGTTCATTCCAGAATCCACAAAGATGTTGGCTGCAAGACTATCTGCAATGGGCACTACTTGTGCAAGGGGGTTCATGCGATCCTCCCTCATCAGCACACCCAAATCTCCCTTCATGCCAATTGTCCGTGGCTACAGAGAGGCTGGAAGAGGCTTCACACGGCGGTCCAGGGTCCAGATGCAGTCCGCACAGGTCACAGAGTCTGCTGCTAAGGGAAAAATTGGACGTAAGTGGATTGTCAATTGGTTGGTTTTAGAAATTTTCATTGTGTGTGATATAGGATGGAGGGCAGTCTTAATGAAAGGGTAAACAATATATCTGTAATGTGTTAAGTTTTACCATCTAATGAGGGGTGTAATTTGAATTGATCACAAACATACATTTTTTTTTTCTTTCACACATGTCTGTGCTTATGGATGTGTTTTCTCTAAGAAGTAGGGCATTTAAAAAACAATTTTAAACTGATAAACTGATAAGAACACAATTTGAACTACAGAAAAATAAAAGAAACCTTGATAATGTCACAGCAGGTGAATGACTGATGCTGTTAGGTTGGATGTGAAATTTATGTAAATTTATATCCTCGGATCTGTTGAACTTTTTGGGTGAATTTATTTTAAAAATGACAATAGATATGTAAGAGAAGAGGGTAAGAAATAGGAGAGCAGGCAGATTGTGGAATTCTTCCAGTTTGGACCAGGAATTTTAGATGATTCATCTATTGACAGTGAAGCAAAATGGAACCTTTAGTTTGACTAGACATATAAAAAGGGAAAGAAAGTGAATAGATGAATAAATGAATTGAGGGAAAGAAAAAATGAAAGGATAAAGATTGAGAGCAGAAATGATTGTATGAGAGAGAGAGAAAGAGAAAGAGATATAAAGAATAAGTGGGAAAACAAACAAACAAAGAGGGAGAAGAAAAATTATAGCTAAATAAATGAGAAAGAAAATGTGGTTCTGTAATGTTGTCAAGGTTTCCAAATCTTGAATTTGTTGCATGGCAGATGTTAATAAAATTCTGTATTGCAAAGATATATCTTGGCACTGGCCATTACCTTAGAGTGGACCATCATGCTAGGGGGAGTCTATACACTTGTCATAGAAATAATTGTCCTACAGGTTTCCAAATTTTTGGTTATATTTATAGTTTATGTATTCATATTGTTGATTTTTTATACCAAATTTTTCAAAGTGCCTGTGGTTACCCTCCTAAAAGTATTTCATTTCTTTCATATACTGTAATTTTCCTTATGCATGCTCCAGCCAACCTAACATTTGAAGCACAACAATAACAAAAAGATGTATATCTAGAAAAAATAAAGTGTGAAGAAAATATTGTCTTTGTTTTCAGTTTTCTTACAGTTTTTCTGCAAAATGACATTTTATTTTGGAATGAGTAAACATTTGAGATCAATAGGACACTAAAATCCATTTGGAAACTCTGAAAGAAAGAATTGTCCTGTCTTATGAATTAGTATGTATTTTGAGTATTTTATACCTTTTTCTGTATTCTTATAAATATTTGATTGATAATTTGTGCTACTTCAGTATTATTTTTTCATTCTAGATTGTAAGTAAATAGGGAAGGAGCTGAAGAACGGATTTTATCCAGCATTGCTTATTTTCATATTTTTGGTTTGTCCTTATTTATTCTTAAGAGCATTTACTAAAATCCTTATTCTCCAAACAGCCATGGAAGTTGGACAGATTGCTGTAGCTGGCGGTGCTGTGCTCGGAATGGGAGCTTTGTGCTATTATGGCCTGGGAATGTCCAATGAACCAGGGGCCATTGACCGTGTTGTGTAAGTACTTATTTGATAATAATAATAATAATAATAATCGGTTTATTGATTTTCATGCAGCCAGGGGCTGAAAATATACATAGAAATATAGATAAAGAGACTATATATGACTATATATGTATAGACATAAAAACAACACACAACAAGGTAAACTAACAATCTGTAACAACAAAATAGACACAATAATAAAAGCTAAGTACAAAATCAGGTGTGCTAGGAGCTGGACCAGTAAAAGTAGACTAGTGTTCGTTGATGAGTAGGACGAGAGTGGGTACTGTGCTCCGGTGGTAGCAGTCAGTGCGGGCCCTGATGGGCACCAATTTGTTGGCGGCGCGTAGGGCCCGGCGAGGCGGCGGTGCGCCGGGGGGCAGCAGGTCACGGTGGCGTGGATGGCACAGCAATTTGAGGCCAAACTGCTGCAGTGAGGTTGTGTAGTGAGTGGCGAGGGAGGCGAGGCCTAGGGCGGTCAGGGCGCTGTCATAGCTGGTATACACAGGGCCGAGGATGATCTTGGCTGCCCTTTTCTGCACCCTCTCGAGTTGTAGCAGCTGGGTGGCGGTGAGGGAGGGGGACCAGGCGGGGGAGGCGTAGGTCAATTTAGGGAGGATAAATAGCCTGTAGGTATTCTGAAGCTCCGGGAGTGGAACGCCAAGGGACTTGAGACGGCGCAGCATGTGAAGCCTGTACGAGGCAGACCTCACGATGTCTCTGACGTGCTGCGTCCAGGAGAGCTTATCGTCGATGGTGACGCCGAGCAGCTTGGTGGAACGGACTACATCGAGTGGGTGGTCGTCCAGTGTGAGGAAGGGCAAGGGGGTGGGGTTGGTGGAGAATTCGAACTGCATCACGACCTTTTGGGACCTTTCTGTGATATCTCCCTGGGGGTGTGAATTCAGAGATTGCCCAAATAGGTGTGCAGAGTTTTACATGTAAACATTAAGAAAAATAATGGCTCCCCCCCATTTGAAAAAAAAAAAAAAAGTGGGGGGGAGTATTCAAATTTTCTGTCTTTGTGGCCATTAACATTTAGTACTTGCTGTGTTCTACAATAAGATGTATTAGATTTGCTTGCCTTCTTGAAGGAAAATGATAACCCTGGGTGAGTGTTGGGTGCTGGGGGCATTGGTTGAGGGGGTACAGGGTTATGAGGGTAAGTAATGGGACTGCAGGGAGACTTAACCCAGTGCCGTCGGGGAAAATGAATAAAATATGGGAAAAATGCTGTGCTCATTTTCTATATTTTTGTGAAATGTCTCTGCACATAGATGGCTCTCCTAGTGTCTAGCCATAAAGGAGTCAGTAGGCTTTGTGACCATACATACAAAAGTGTAAAAGTAGGTTTTCAACTTACTTAAGTATTGTGCCACAATACATAACTTGCCCTACCATAGGTATTCCATAAGAACTGTCATGTAGCCCACAAATGACACCTGTGGTCTGGACCAAAAGTCAGCCATCTGTTCCAGGTTGACATGTGTTTGAAATGACACTACTCTGAACTTCAATATTGATATTTAACAATGAAACTTTTATTTTAGTGAATGTATAGCACAAGCTCAACATTTCTTATGTTTGTTAGTTTCACTCACATTTGTTTTTTGTTTTGAATAAGCCTACAATTGTAAAACTTTGTTTATCTGATTGTGATTTCAAGGTATCTCATTTTGGGAAAAAAGTTATGATTATCTTTACATGAGGATATGCTCTGAAAGAATCTTCACTGAAATGTTAGATTTTTAAGAATGATTCAGTTTCATTATTAATAACTCTAACATTTTTTTCCCACAGAGTTTGGCCTCAGTTTGTACGCGACAGAATCCGGGACACATACTTGTATTTGGGAGCCTCATGTGCTGCGACAGCTGCCTCGGCTATTGCAGTATTTAAATCACCAATGGGCCACCGCTTCTTTGCATTGTGTTCGAGGCATCCCATTGCTGTACGTATTATTGAGTACCTTTTTATATGAGTTAGCTAGGAATATTTATTTGGAATGACACATGAACACATGTATAGACATATAGTAATGTTTTGGAAATGCTAGGAAAGGTATGGTAACAGTATCACTGGACAAACCGTACTAATTCAAAATACATTTTTTCCCCTTAGTCAACAATTGGCATCATAGTGGCTCTTATGGGCACAGGCCAGGCGATGATGGCCATTCCCTATTCCCCGGGCATTGGATCAAAACAGATGATGTGGCTGCTCAACTGTGGAATACTTGGCCTGGCTATTGCACCTGTTGGTGCTCTGGGTGGGGCTCTGGCCATCAGGGCAGCTTGGTACACAGCTGGTATGTAGAGTTGAGTTGGAATCTGCTAGTTTTAGAGTATTTTTGTGTGCAGGTGCGGGTGCGTGTGTGTTTGTGTGTTTGTGTGTTTGTGTTTGTGTTTGTGTTTGTGTTTGTGTTTGTGTTTGTGTTTGCGTTTGTGTTTGTGTTTGTGTTTGTGTTTGTATTTGTGTATTTGTGTATTTGTGTATTTGTGTATTTGTGTATTTGTGTGTGTGTGTGTGTGTGTGTGTGTGTGTGTGTGTGTGTGTGTGTGTGTGTGTGTGTGTGTGTGTGTGTGTGTGTGTGTGTGTGTGTGTGTGTGTGAGATATATACTGGATGTTAATTTCCTTCTCCAGGGATCATACTATTTAAGGCTGGAAGAGAAAAGTTTTCTGTGTTGACACTACTTTAAATCTTTTACAGGTATTGTAGGAGGTCTGAGTACCGTGGCTGTCTGTGCCCCAAGTGACAAGTTCCTCAACTGGGCAGGACCACTGGGTATTGGCCTGGGTGGTGTCTTCGTGGCTTCCCTGGGCTCGGCTTTCTTGCCCCCAACCTCGGCCCTCGGCCTTTCTCTCTATTCCATCTCCCTTTATGGTGGCCTTTTACTCTTCTCGGCCTTCCTCTTGTATGATACACAGAAGGTAAGTTGGGATAGAGACTTAATCTTCATCCAGTAAAGGCAAAGTTTGTGCATGCATATTTAATTCTTTGTTATGGATATAAGTAATGGTACCATGGCACATTATGTAACATGTTGAAGAAGGAAATCATGTGTCATTAACATTGAGAGTGTGACGTGCAGAGAAATCCCTTGTGATGATCCCCTTAGCACAGAAACATTATTTGTCAAGGTGATGCTGAATGTAGAAAAGATATGAATGAGAATGAATATCTTCACAATACAAGATGTATCTCTGACAAAGATATAATTGAAACCGGTCAAATACATCTCTTGTACTGTGAAGATATTCATTCTCAATCATACCTTTTCTACATTTGTCAACATGAATATGGATCATCATGATACTGAATATTTTCACTGCAACATGTGTATCTCAAATAACCAAATTATTTCTTCCAGGTCATCCGGAAAGCTGAGACCCACCCCAACATGTGGGGAGTCATGCCCTATGACCCCATCAACATGTCCCACCACATTGTGCTGGATGTGGTCAACATCTTCGTGCGAATGGTCCAGATTCTGGCCATGGGAGGAGGAAGAAGGAAGTAATTGCCAAGCATGATTCCTTCTTGTTAGTCTCATGGCTGACTTGTGGATTAAGGCTTACTTTAAAATTGTAGTATTTTTAAGTGTTATGTTTTTTATTATGGCAATGATGATGATGATTATTAAGTTATATGAATGTCATGGTGACACTACTGTTGAAGTTCATTGCTATTTTGTTTATACTGAAAATTTTTGTAAGCACATTTTTTTTTCTTCACAATAAGTAGCATTTGTTTAAAGAAACGGAATATATGAATTATATCTGTCATATTATTTTCTGGTTATAATATGTATGATGTATTAATGCTTTAATTCTTTACTGCATGTAGATTTATTTGATATTGCAGTGGTGGTGTATGTAAAGCATTATTTATTTTTTTCGCTCAGCCAAGCAATTATTCATTTCTTAAACAAACATCATCATTGTTGAATGGAAGAAAGTTTCTGCTTTTTAGTCAGATTCAAAATATTATTTTCTATTATTTTTTTTGTCCTTGGCAATCTTTATTTGTTTTTGATTAGAGAAAGGAATTGTCAGTGTTTAAGATCTAAGTGTTACAGTCATACTGGCTCATATCGATATGATACTAGATTATACTCAAGTGATGTAGATGTTCAACTGATTTGGAGAGCATATAATCACAGAAAACTTAAAGAAGTAGAGACATCTGATACAGCAAACAAATGAGAGAAAGTGAATTCTAGAAAAGAGCATCTGAACAAGAGAAATGCTGAGATTGATACACGAAAGTACTTATGGTATAGATTACAGGACTAATAGTGCAGCACTGTTTATTCAGCTTTCCTTGCAAGGATATGTGTCTTTGAATATGTATATATCTGTTAATAAAATTTAATTTGTCTTTGCCTGTGTTTTGTACCTTCATCCAGTAGCATGTTGCAACAGTACATGTTAGAATGTCTGTCTAATGTTATTTTAAGGAATAGAAAGATGACAATAGTTCCTCTCAGACATTAGAGTATTATGCTACATTGTCATGAGTAACTACAGTTCTAGAAATAATTGAAATATATTTTGAGTGTCAATGTACATTTATATATGTGTATTATTTAAAACAGACTATTCAGCTGCCCAGTATAAAAAAATTGGCTCACAGGTGTATATAAAGTTCATTGGTATTTTTATAATTTGTAATTTATAATTTATAATTACATAGCTCATATCCTTCTAAAGCAAATACAATGGACTGACATTTTCTTGACATATGATTAACAGGGACACTGTTTAAAAGAACTTATGATTATGTTTAAAAAAATGGGCATAGCAATATCATAGATTTTAATCCATTGCCGACGGGCATGCCATGCCATGCCCACTGTGAGATTACTTATTTGATAGTTTTTACACATAGATGGCTACACTTCTACTAAACCACCAATGAGCCAATTATGAGTACTGCCTCGACCGTTCACCCTTTTCTTTAATATTCAAAAATATTTTATGTTATCTTAATTTACTGTTAGTAATGTTTATAACATTATAGTAATTATGATGTTTATAATAAAAATAACACCGTCGATATTCATAGCACTAGTAAAAGATATAATTTCCCGCCAATTCAAGGAAAGGCAGAGCCATCTATGTGTAGAGACATTTCACAAAAAAATATGAAAAATGAGCTCAGCATTTTCCCACCGTTGGCAGTGGGTTAACATAATTGTTGTTTTTATTATTACTATTTTTATTATAGTTATTGTTTTTATTATTACTATTACTATTATCTGAATTGTTATTATTATTATTATTATTATTATTATTATTATTATTAATTTTATTATCATTATTATTATTATTATTGTTGTCATTATTATTATTATTATTATTATTATTATTATTATTATTATTATTACTATTATCATATTTATTATTATTATTATTATTATTATTATTATTATTATTATCATTATTATTATTATTATTATTATTATTATTATTATTATTATTATTATTATTATTATTATTATTATTATTATTATTATTATTGTAATTGTTATTGTTATTGTTATTATTATTAGTATTAATATTATCATTATTATTATCATTATCATTATAATCATTATTATTGAGATTATCATTATTACTATTATTATTGTTATTATTGTTATTGTTATTGTTATTATTATTATTATCATTATCATTATCATTATCATTATCTTTATCTTTATCATTACTATTGCAAAGAAGCAAGATTCCAAAGGACATGTAAACATAAGCCAATTTTTCGTGCATTTATGCCATTTTACCCCTGTATCCTTGTGGCTTTTTATTATATATTAAGAAAGTTAGTGTTAATAGCTAATAACCATTTTCTTTTCGTTGACAGAAAACGCTCTAATTTTTAGGGATAACTTTTTTTTTACACTTCATTACCGTTTTCTACGTCACGCAGTGTACTACTATAAAGTTTTCAGTGATTGTAGTACCTGCGAATAAAGTTACTACAGAATGATAAAACAGATGTAGTTTTTACTTTTTTTTCATTTTGGTACCGTATTCTCAAAACGAAAACGAAAGAAAAAAAAACAAGAATGCTTTTTATTGAAACGTATTCTGTTAAATAGTTACCTAGGTCTCATTTACTAGACGCAAAATGCAAATACAGAACAAATTATTTCCAGTATGGCAGCATTTATATATATTCGTTCAATCTGGATACACAGGAGGTCAACCCGCCTCTGTAAGCGCCACAGATTTTATAGTATTATACAGCCTTTATAGTATTATATAGTCCCACACGTCATCTACCCATAAGCAGATTACAGATCATAATGGCATTTACCTAACAATCATTAAACGCTTTACCACTTTCAATTTTACAATTATTTCCAAAATGCAAATCTTTCTCTATATAGTCGTGAAATTGCCTATGGGGGGAAATATATGAAAGGAAAGAGTATAGTTTTACAATGAGAGCATATAAGCCCAAAATTTTATAGTCATTGTCCATTATTACAAATATGAAATGAGTTCAATAATAAAAATACAGATGCTAAGATGACAGATTTTCATGATTCTGATGACCATTGCAAAAATAAAACAAAGAACCATCGTTGAGACTCATATGCCATGTCCTTAATAAAGATATTGTATGAGTGTGATTAATAATGTATAAAAAATATAACTGTTAACGGATGGAACGGATGACAATGTGAATTTCAGATGAAGCAAATATCATTACTGAAATTGTGAGGGAAATGCTATTATCATTTGACTCAACGTGATGAAGTCCTGCAAGCAACTCCGCTAAGAAATCCGCTTACAGTTCAAACGTACCGATCACTTACGCTAGAATTTATATAACCAATGATGCTTTGAGATATGATTATGAATGATAAAAAAAAGGCTATTACTACTTGTGGAAGACGAAATGATATGTCTCAATTTAAGGACGTTATAATAGCACTACTACTGCTACGACAACTATTACTTTTATTGTTATCATTATCATTATCGTTATTCTTCTTCTTCTTCTTCTTCTTCTTCTTCTTATAATAATAATAATAATAATAATAATAATAATAATAATAATAATAATTATTATTATTATTATTAGTAGTAGTAGTAGTTATTTTTCTTTTCATTTCTTATTACTATCATTATCACTCTTATCACTATGATTATTTTTATTACTGTTGTTGTCTTTATGATAATAATAATAATAATAATAATAATAATAATAATAATAATAATAATAATAATAATAATAATAATAATAATAATAATAATAATAGTAATAGTAATAGTAATAATAATACAATAATAATTATTATTATTATCATGTTTGTTATTAATATCATTATTATTATTTCAATTATTATTATTATTATTATTATTATTATTATTTTATTATCATTATTATCATTATCATTATTATCATCATAAGTATTATTATTATTACTATTATTATTATTATTATTATTGTTATTATTATTATTAATAATGATAATAATATTAATAATGATAATTATAATAATCATTATCATTATTGTTATCATTATCATTACTACTATTCATATTATTATTTTTATTATCACTATTATTGTTGTTGTTATTGTTATCATTATCATTATTATTATTATCATTATCATTACTAATTATCATCAGTAATTATTTCGTTTTCAGCCACAATATGAAACGTATAATTCAAATTTGATTTTATTATATATTCTTTCGAAAACTTTCAGACCGATTTAACCTTTGTTTTTATTATGTTCCTCTTTGATATATTGCTTCACTTTTCTCAATTTGCCTATTCTTATTCTCATTATTATCACTTATCATCACCATCACTATCGTAAGCATTAATAGTGTTATCGTTATACACAGATAATGGTAATGGTGATAGGCCTATTTGTAATATTATTGTTATCTGGACCGAAAATGATTTCTACTTGTTATCGAAGGGAATTATGGGTTATTTGCTGTCATTATGGTTGTCATTGTCGTTATGGTTGTTATTGCTATTGTTATCTTCGTTGTGACGGTAATTTTCTATGATTATTCTTTTCACGGTCTGTTTTTTTTTTGTTATTGTTCATGGAATTGTTCATTTGTCTTGACTGCTTGTTGTTATAGTTTTTGCTGTTTTGATTGTGGGAATGTTTATTTGCGTATCTGTTTCTCTCTTGAGCTTAGGTTGATTTTCATTCAATAGAAGGGATGTTCCTATACCAGAGTAAATCTGACTGAATATCTTTCTTGTAAATTATGGTCCTTTCAATTAACTTTCTTTAAATTGCTTTCCTTTTCTCAGCTCTTCCGTTTTTTAGATCGTAGGGTTTAAGGGTGTGAATGCATAGAATAGTTTTTTTTTCTTACAATATATTTACACAAGTGATATCAAAATGGGCAAAAAAAAAAGTAGATATTTACAAAGGACCGATGTTGTGGTCCGTGTGCGGCCCGGATGGGCGGTCCGGGCCACACGAGCGCTCACTGCGGGCCGCGAGGGGCGATGTCAAGCCGCCCGCGAGGTTGCTGCCAGCAGAACCTCACGGGGGCGGCCGCAGTGAGGCGGGCGGCGGGCGTACAGCAGATGTCCGGGGCTGGGGGCGTGAGGGCGGCTCGGGGCGCCGGGTCTAGTAACCGTATCCGTACATCATGGTGGAGGAGCACTTGGTGACGGTGTGGTACTCAGGCACGGTCTGGTACACGGTCATGGTCACGTACTCGTTGACGGACTGGGTGACGGTGTTGTAGACGTACTCCTGCTTGACCTGAGTCTCGTACTGGGTGACGTAGTAGGGGTTCTTGACGGTCATGGTGACGTACTGTTGCTGGACCTTGGTCTGGGTGACGTAGTAGGCCTTGGTCTCGTACCCGGTGTTGGTGACGAAGTTGGTCATGGGGTAGCTCTGGGTCTCGGTGTTGGTCACGTACACGGCCGTGGTCTCGGTGAAGTACTGCTTGGCGGTGTTGTAGCCGTAAGCGGACTCGGTCATGTAGACGGGGATGGTGACCATCTTGGTGTCGTACAAGATCTTGGTCTCCGTCAGGATGGCAGGCTCAGCGTACGCCGTCATCGTCGAGTACTGGATGATGGTCTTGGGGGCCACCAGTGTCTCGGTGATGTAGGCGTAGTTGGTGGTGGGAACCTCCTTGGTCACGGTGGCGTAGTGGGCCTGAGTACCCTGCACGTCCTTGGTCATCGTCTTCGTCACGTACTTGGGGTAGCACGCCTCCTCCTTGGGTGGGGGTCCGTATGAGGAGGACAGCTCCACCTTGATGTAGCCGGGGGAGGCGCCATAATCGGGAAGAGCCACGGCAGAGCACGCCAGAGCCACAATCACGCCCAACACAGCTGTCCGGATCATCTGAGGGAGAAAGAGGGGGTCGTTAGCGAT